GAGCGGGGCGCGCGTGGGCGGAGGGGCGGCGCGAGCGCGGGTGCGGATCGGGGACCCCATCCCCGCGGGGCTCTGGGTGGGTGCGCAGCGGAGTCCCCAAACTCCGCGGTTGGAGGCTCGCAGGGAGCCGGACTTGGGGGGTCAGAGGGAGGGGGCCCCCATTTCCGACCCCGGGTGCCTGGGTCGGGTCAGGCGGCCGGGTCCCCCGGGTGAACCCCGAAGCCGGTCCCGGTGCCCAGCCTGGCCGCCGCTCCTGCGTCCCCGAAGGGGCGCCGATGCGAGGGGGCTGGTGGCCCAGTGCCCGGACGGGGACCTCGGCAGCCACCACGCCGCCCCCCAGACGCCGGGAGCGGGGCTCAGCGCCGCCCTGCAGAGCTCCGCCCCGAGCGCTGGCCAGGGTCCCGGGCAGCCCCTCACCCTCCGCGGACACGCGGCCTCGGACTGCCCCGGCTGGGACTCGCGCAGGCCCCGCTGCCCTGGAAGTTTCTGCCGTGTCCCGGTGTCCCACGCCAGCCTCGGTCCCTGGGCGGTGGGGGCCCCGCCTCGGGGCTGACAGGCGGGTGACACTTTCTCTTGACCCAGTTCTTGAGGATGGAAGAGGCGACTGTCAGTCCTTTCCGGCCACCGTGGAGTGGGGTGGCGTCTGGGCACTTCTCAAAGGAGGCAAACAGAGGGCTCAGCGACTTCGGTCATGCGTGGGGACACCCCAGGCCCGCTGCTCCAGCCTGCCTGTCGTTGGGGGGGTGGTATTTTTGTGCTTTCTTTGTTTTGGGTTTTTTTTTTTTGAGACAGGGTTTGACTCTGTAGCCCGGGCTGGCCTCAGCCTCGTGGGGATCCTGCTGCCTCAGCCTCCTGAGTGCTGGGATCCAGTGCCCGGCTGGCCCCTGCTGGGTGCGAGGGTTCGTTCTGGGCTGTGGAGGTCCTGGCAGGTTCTTTCTCTTCCCGCGGGCCCTACAGTGAGGAGCACAGGAGCCACCCCTGCTCCTTTTCTCCTGCGAGCCCCAACCTTCCAGGTTCCCCAAAACTTCATCTCCTGGGTGTCACGGATGCCCCGGGGAGAGGATAGCAAACCCAAGCAGGCTCAGCAGTGTTCCCAGCCCTCCAGCCCCTGCGCAAGCTCAGAAGCCTCCCCACAAACACCCCGGTAGGAGGAAGTCCAGACCCTGCCCTGGGCCTCATGGGAGCTCCCAGCCCATGTGGGAGACCCCAGCGCATGGCCCCGCTTGCAGCAGTAGAGGAGGAAGGGCCCTGAAAGGCCAGGGGGTCTCCTGCGCAGGACACACACACACACACACACACACACACACACACGTGCGCGCGCGCACACACACACCCAGCATCTAGGCCCTGCTCTTCCCGGCTGTGTGACCTTGGGCAGATTGCTGTCCTCCTCTGAGTCTTGCCTGTCTTGTTTGAAATGGGAATGGGGTGCCACCTGCCTCCTTGGGTAACAAGAGGGGAGACGCGTGACACCAGGGGCTCTGTCAGTCGCAGGGTGGGTGCCAGCGGAGCCCTCGGCCCTCCTGGAGCCGCCTGCCCTGTGTCCCCTCCCCCACAGCCTCCCTGCCCAGGGCAGCTTAGGACGCGCGGCCAGGCTGAGGGACATGGCAGACAGGCAGCTTGGCGCGCGCCTTGGCGGCTGAGTCACACCCGAGCTCTCGACCCGGCGCCGCTTTGGAAGGTCGTTCCCAGTGGCTCTCGCGGGGATCGTGTACAGTGGGGGGCTGGCAGCAGGGTGTCTGGGGTTCCTTATCCCCTGCACCACCACCTCCTCATCCCACGGGGCGGCCAGCGGCAGTGCTTGCAGGGGGCTGGGCTTGAGTGCTCGTGTGGACGGAGATCAGGGTGAGGTCGCCGGCAGGGTGACCCACTCCTGCAATTCCAGCCAATCCGGAGGATGAGGCAGGAGGATCTCAAGTTCAGGCCGACGTGAGCAATGTAGGGAGTGAGATCCTGTCTCAGAAAGTTGAAAGGGCCGGGCGTGTTGCTCAGAGGTAGAGCTCTTGAAGAGCACGTCCGAGGCCCTGGTTCCATCCCCGGTGCTGCACAAAAGTGAAATAAAAATAAACCGGCCAGTGCTAGGCCGAAAGGAGTCAGCCTCATGAACTGGAGAGTCCAGATAAAGGAGCCGTGGCCAGCTGTGATGGCGGGGTGGGGAAGACAGACGGCATGGCCTCGGGTCTGTCCCATTCCCACCCTGTGCTCCGTTTCTCCATCCACACACGCGGCCTAGTCCAGGTTCCCTTTCTTGGGCCCCAGAGGCAGGCTCAGGGTCCCTGTGGCCACTGCCCTGACCCTTGCTGTCCCCCAGCCACTGCTTGAGCTCGCACATGCTGCCTCTGTGTGTGTGTGTGTGTGTGTGTGTGGTGCTGGGGACGGAACCCAGGGCCTTCACACAGCTGCGTCTCCAGGCCTTTTTACTTTTTATTTTAAGACAGGGTCTCACTAAATTGCCCAGGCTGGGCTAGAACTTCAGATCTTCCTGTCTCAGCCTCCCAAGTGCTAGGATTACAGGTGTGCACCACCACATCTGACTTGCCCTTCTCTCTTTTTTAAATGTTATAATAAGCCAGGCATAGTGGTGCACACCCATAATCCCAGCATTTAGGAGGCTGATCCAGGAGGATTTCTGGGAGTTTAAAGCTGGCCTGGGCTACCTAGTGAGCTCAGGGTACAGACCAAAACCTTACCTTGGATAAACAAACAAAAATGTATGTGTTATAATAAAAAAAGAAATTTCATTACTTATCTACCTTAACTAGCCGGGCATAGTGGTACATGCCTGTAATCCCAGCACTGAGGAGGCTGAGGCAGGAGTGCTATGAGTTCAAGGCCAGCCTGGACTGCATAACGAGACCCTGTCTCAAAATACCACAAAATAAATAAATAAAATAAAATAAATTGCGTGGGCTGGGCTGGGCTGGGCTGGAACTTTCGATCCTCCTGTAGGAAGCTGTATGCCCACGAACCTGCTGTATCTTCTACTCACGCTGTCGGGCTGAGGGTCGCCCTGCGCCTGTGCCCCTCTGGGGACTGGGAGACTGGGCCTGGCCATGGTGGGAAGGTGTGGGCACGGGGGAGGGGGCAGTGTGGCTGGAGGGTGGGAGAAGGAAGTGGGGACAGGTGGGAGTCCAGGAGATCTTGGCCCCAGCGAAGCATGGATCTGGGAAGGGACGGCACTGGGGAGCCATGGTGGGATTTGGAGCAGAGGAGGATGTAACAGACTTTGGTGTTTCTGGGCTTTGCTGGGCAGTGAGGACCCCTGCCTGCCTCATGTGACCAGGTCCCTGTGTCCCCGCAGGTCAGCTGGAGATCCCCGCCGCTGCGCCATGCCGGGCCCAGGGTGGCCTGCCACCAGCCCGGCCACCGTGCCCAAGTGGCCATGAACGGCCACAGCCACAATGGCAGCGCGGGGCGGCCGCTGGGCAGTGGGCCCGGTGCGCTGGGCCGCGAACCCCCGGACCCCGAGGCTGGCCGCCCCGCGCAGCCCCCGCACAGCCCGGGCCTGCAGGTGCTGGTGGCCAAGGGTGAGCCCGCCCGGCGGTCCCCCAGCAGTCCCCGCGGGCAGCCCCAGGACCAGGCGGAGGATGAGGAGGACGAGGAGGAGGAGGAGGACGCCGCCGGCCGCCCGAGGGCCGTGGGGAAGCCGCCTGCTGCGGGCCACCGCCTGGGCCACCGGCGCGCGCTCTTCGAGAAGCGCAAGCGGCTCAGCGACTATGCGCTCATCTTCGGCATGTTTGGCATTGTCGTCATGGTGACAGAGACAGAGCTGTCCTGGGGCGTCTACACCAAGGTGGGCACCCAGGGACACGGGCCCAGGGCACCGGGGCGCATGGGGAAGGAGAAGCCCAGGGACCGCCGGGACCGGGCTTCCCCTGTCTCCTGGCACCGCCCGGGTGAGGGCAAATGTCGGGGCAGGACGGCCACCAGAGACCAGGCCTGTGCGCCGTGACGTGTGAAAAACAAATCAGACACACAGCAGAGCTCTGCACGGCCTTCGAACGTGGGGGAATCCAGGCCAGTGGTGGGTGGGCCGCCTGGCTGTCCCTGGTGCCTGCCCTGAAGCTTCCTGTGTCCCCTCTGTCTACAGGCGTCTCTGTATTCCTTTGCCCTGAAATGCCTCATCAGCCTGTCCACCGTCATCCTGCTGGGCCTAGTGGTGCTGTACCACGCCCGGGAGATCCAGGTTGGTGGCCCTGCCTGGCCCGTCGCCAGCCACGCGCACCGTGGCCCCAGAACCCCAGAGCACAGACGAGTCTTTAGAGGGAGGACAGACGCTCCACTTGGTCCCTGCAAACTTCCCCAGTGTGGCCTGTGCTTTCTTTCTTTTTCTTTCCTTCTTTTTTTTTTTTTTTTTTTTTTTTTTAGACAGGGTCTCACTATGCAGTTCAGGCTGGCCTTGAGCTCATTTTGCAGCCCAGGCTGGTCTCCAGCTTGCAACGATCCTCCTGCCTCAGCCTTCCGAGCGCTGGGATTACAGGTGTGCACCACCACACCCAGCCTGTGTTTTCATTTTCGTTGCTGAGTTCACAAAGAAAAGAGGTAAGCTGGGTGTGATAGCACACACCTGTCATCCTGGTACTCTGGGAGGCTGAGGCAGAAGGATTGCAAGTTCAAGCTCATGCTGGGTAATTTAGCAAGGCCTTGTCTCAAAATAAAAAATAGAAAGGGCCTTGGATGGAAAGATCCCAGGATCCATCTCTAGCACCTCTACAAAAGCAAGAGCAGCCGGGTATGGTATCACATGCCTGTAATCCCAGCACTCGGGAGGCTGAGGCCGGAGATCGTTGCGATTTCCAGACCAGCCTGGGCTACAAAGTGAGCTCAGGGCCAGCCTGAACTGCGTAGCAAGACCCTGTCTCAAAAAAACAAAAGCAAAAGCAAAAGCAAAGCCACACTGGCTGAGTAGCTTAAACAGCAGCCCTGCACAGCCGCCTGGTTCAGGGCTGGAAGTCCAAGTTTGAGGCCTTTGCAGGGCAGTGGGACAGATGCAGCCCAGGTCCCTCCTGGCGTTGGTGGTGCCCGAGGTTGGTGGCTTGGGGGCACTGCCCTGCTGTCTTGAGGGTCATATGACCTTCTCTCATGTGGGGACCCTGTCCAAATAGCTCTCTTTGCTCTTTTTCTTTTCTTTCTTTTCTTTGTTTTCAGTCCTGGGGACTGAGCCTAGGGCCTATCAGTCTACCATTGAGCTATATCCTCAGCCCTTTTAATTTCTAGATTTTTTTTTTTCCACTTGTTTTTTTTGGTCTTTTTTGAGATGGGTTCACTTTGCAGTTCAGGTTGGTCGTGACCTCATAGTGACTGGCTTCCACGTTTTGTTTTGTTTTGTTTTCTGAGATAGGGTCTCCAAATATACTGCTCCATACCCAGCAGTTCAGGCTGGTCTCACATTCTCAGTGATCCTCCTGCCTCAGCCTCCTGAGGGCTAGGATCACAGGCATGTGCCCGGACACCCGGCACATGATACTTTCATCATTCACTGTTACCCCGTTGTCTCACCCCACCCCCAGTTTCCCATTTTGGGGAGATTAATATGTGTAGTGTATCTTGATCACATCCCTATCCCTTTTACCCACCCTTATGCTCCCTCTAGTTTTCCTCCCCTTTTTTAAATTTTGAGATAAGATCTTGCTAAGTTACTAAGCCGGCCAGGCTGGGGGCTTGAAGTCAAGACCCTCCTGCCTCAGCCTCCCAGGTAGGTGCGGATCCAGGCCGTTGTTTGGTGTGAGTTCTCCCCAGCGCAGAGGCCTAGGGAGTTCCGCCCTCGCAGCCGGTTTCCTGCTCCAGTTGGGCGACCCAGCGGGCTGGGCTTCGGGCGGGCCAGGCTGCCGCGGCCGCGCCTGACGCGCTCGCCGCCCCCCCCGCAGCTCTTCATGGCGGACAACGGCGCGGACGACTGGCGCATCGCCATGACCCGCGAGCGCGTCTTCCTCATCTCGCTGGAGCTGGCGGTGTGCGCCATCCACCCGGTGCCCGGCCACTACCGCTTCACCTGGACGGCGCGGCTGGCCTTCACGTACGCGCCGTCGGTGGCCGAGGCCGACGTGGACGTGCTGCTGTCCATCCCCATGTTCCTGCGCCTCTACCTGCTGGGCCGCGTCATGCTGCTGCACAGCAAGATCTTCACCGACGCGTCCTCGCGCAGCATCGGCGCGCTCAACAAGATCACCTTCAACACGCGCTTCGTCATGAAGACGCTCATGACCATCTGCCCGGGCACCGTGCTGCTGGTCTTCAGCATCTCGTCCTGGGTCATCGCCGCCTGGACCGTGCGCGTGTGCGAGAGGTGCGCTGCAGGGCCGGGGACCCGGGGCCGGGCTCTGGGCTCTGGCTGGGGCGCCCCTCCTGCCCCCGCCGCCGCCCCCACTCTTAACTGCTTTCCTTCTCCCCTGTGCCCGCCCTGCCGGACCGCAGGGAAGACATGTGAGTGTGCCCGGCGCTGCCCTGCCCTGCCCCGCGCTGCCCCCGCTGGGAATTTAAGATTCGCTGCCGCGGAGGGGCGGGAGGGCGCCCCAGGCCCCGTCCCTGTCGCCAGGGCTCCGGGAGGGGCAGCAGCCTGCGCGGGGTGGCCGTCCTCGCCCTCTGCTCCCACGGCCCCAGCAGGCTCAGCCCCTGGACCTTGGCGGGCCACGGCCCTGGAGGGTGTGGGGCCGCCCACCAGCGGGAAACTGAGGCTGAAGGGGCCACTTGCTTGCCGGCCGGTGCCTCCTTGTCCGGCCCTTGGGGTCCTCCCTGCGCGGGTCACCTGGGACCCAGGCGCTGGCCCCACAGCCGCCCAGCGGGAGCTGAGCCAGGAGCGGCGGGATTGGGGTTCCAGGGTGGGGTCCCCCGGTCCCAGCCGGTCCGGGCAGGCCAGCGGGCAGCCAGTCCTAAATTCCGAGCCCGCAGTGACGCTTGTGCCCTCCCCGCCTTGCTGCGTCCCTGCCCCCTCGTGTCGCCTGGGCCCTGGCCTGGCTCTGCCTGAGACACCTGGAGGCCCAGCCTTGGGGCTCTGGGGGGGACCCCAAGCCCTTCATCCGCGAGGGTCTGCCTTGTCTCCTTCCGGTCCCCTGTGCCCAGTTCTGCTGTCCCCCGCCTCCCGCGGGGGACCTGAGCCCGGGAAGGGACGCTGGGGTTGCGACGGGTCCCCGAGTTGTCCTCAGACCCTGAGAGCCCACCTCCCGGCCCTGGCCTGGGACGGTCACCCCAGCCCTCTCCAGGGCCAGGCCGTGGCCCTGCTGTGGCCCTGGGGACCCAGCCAGACTCTCAAACTGCCCCTGCCCCACCCAAGGCCCGGGCTCCGGGGCTCCCTGCGCATTGGCTCCTGCGCCTCCGTACCCCGCGGCCTTGTGCAGCCTCCGTGCCCGGCCGTTTCTCTTGCTGCCCGACCCCAGTTCCCGCCTCACTCCCCGCCGCTGCCGGCCCCCTCGGCCACCCGTGTCCCGTGTGTCCGTGTGTCTGTCTGTGCACAGCTGTGGGTGGTGTGGGGGCTCTGTCACGTCCCTGGGCCGGGAGCGGAGACTGGCGCAGGGGGCGGTGAGAAGCAATGGAGGCCCAGCACTCAGAGGCTGAGGCAGGAGGATCACCGGGAGCTTAGGGCCAACCTGGGCCACACAGCCAGACCCTGTCTCAGGAACACAAAAGAAAAAAAATACAAAAGAACATAAAGGGACATAGGAGAGGAGGGGGGCAGGCCACCGTCGTGCCCCCAGGGGCTGCCCCAGGCACGACCCCCAGAAGCCTCTGTCCCTGCCCCAGGCTGACCACTCCTGCGTGGCCCTGCCCGGTGTGACCCACCCAGGAAGGGCCGCCCGCCCTGACTGGGCCTCCCTGCCGCCCCCCAGGTACCATGACAAGCAGGAGGTGACCAGCAACTTCCTGGGGGCCATGTGGCTCATCTCCATCACCTTCCTGTCCATCGGCTACGGCGACATGGTCCCGCACACCTACTGCGGGAAGGGCGTGTGCCTGCTCACCGGCATCATGGTGAGGGCCTCGCCCCGTGCCCCGTGCCCCGCGCCCCGCGCCCACTGCCTCCTGGGGGGCGCCTGTGGGAGCCGTTCCTGGCCCGCCATTCCCCACAGCCCTGGGATCGGGCCCTGGATGCTTCTGTGCCTCAGTTTCCCCAGTGATCACCACTTCCTCCATAGCTGCCAGGACCCAGCCCATTTATCTATGTGAGATGCCTCCAACCCTGCCGGTCCTGGTGGGCCCCGTCCTTGGCCCGGGGACAGGATGAGTCAGGCCTGGGGGTGGCGACAGGGCGGGGCGGGCGCTCTGCGGGACACTGAGGCCTCCGCCCCGCGCAGGGAGCTGGCTGCACCGCGCTGGTGGTGGCGGTGGTGGCCCGGAAGCTGGAGCTCACCAAGGCCGAGAAGCACGTGCACAACTTCATGATGGACACTCAGCTCACCAAGCGGGTACGGACCCTCTCACCCCCTCTGCACCCCGCAGGCACACCCACGTGCTCGTGCAGGTCTGAATTGCTGCCCTGTACCTCAGTTTCCCCGTGTGCAGATGAGCGAGCTATCAGCGTCGTGCAGATTGACCAAGCTCACACTTTCAGGTGTGGTGAGCAAGGGCAGCGTGTGAGACACGGTCACACTGCACAGGTGTGAAATGTGAGCATGGCCCTGCCTTACAGTCCGGGCTTCCAGAAGTTTCTAGAAGCATCTAGAAGCTTCTGGAGGTTTCCAGAAATTTCTCTCTTTTGGGGGGTTTGTTTTTGTTTGTTGTTTTTTGGGGCTTTGTTTTGTTTCTGTGTGGATACCCTGAGGAACTATTCTTTCTTCGGCCCCAGGTAAAAAATGCCGCTGCTAATGTTCTCAGGGAGACGTGGCTCATCTACAAACATACCAGGCTGGTAAAGAAGCCAGACCAAGCCCGGGTTCGGAAACACCAGCGTAAGTTCCTCCAAGCCATCCATCAGTAAGTCCAGAACCTTTCCAGCTCACATTTCCGTGTCCGCCTCACACGGAGGCAGCCAGCTGTGGCCCCGGGAGGAGGCCTAGGCCAGGCCGGGTGGAAAGCTGGTTGGGGGCTGCAGTTCTGTGCTGGGCAGGATGGGAAGACAGAGGGCCCAGGGCTCAGCAGGACGGTCACTCGGATCAGTGCCGGAAGTCCCTAATACCAGTGGCAGAAAGCATAGCTCATTTTCTGGAATAATTACACTCTTACCCTTTCAACGGTAAAACAGTTTTCCCTTTTTGCTCTGGCTGCCAGGAAGCTCAGAATGACACCCGTGGTCAGATCCATAAGATCGTGTGTGATAATCAGAAATTCTTTAATTTTCTCTGTTGTCCCTTTGTCCTCACAATTACTTAGTCCAGTGAATCTCAACCGTGAGACTCATTATAATCCCTCGGGGGACTTTACACAATCTCTCAAGTCATCTGCAACACGGTCACGATAAGAGCCCAGGTGCAGCCTGGGTTCATGTTCCCCAGGGGAGCAGTGCCCAGTTTAGAGTGTCAACAGTAAGCGGATATGGCTCAGGAGCACGTCCCCAACATCCTAGCACTCTGACAGGCTGAGGCAGGAGGGTCAAAAGTTCAAACCCAGCCCTAAGGCAAGGCCCTGTTTGCCTCAAAATAAAATTTATTTTTTTGTTTTGTGTTTTTTGATTTTTGTTGTTGTTATTGTTTATTTAGATGCGTGGGGGGGCAGTTGAAACAGGGTCTTGCTATGTAGCCCAGGCTGGCCTCAAACTCATGTGGATCCTCCTGCCTCAGCCTCCTGAGTGCTGGGATCACAGGCGTGCGGCACCACGCTTGGCCCATTTTTGCTTCTTTTAAGAAATGACAGGCGTATGAGATTAGGGCCACGCTAGCAACCCCACTGTAGCTTGGTCAGGTTTGCGAAGACCCTTTTTCCAGTGACAGTCCCACCCTGAGGTCCTGGGGCATCCAGTGCAGCCTTGGGGGACACCATTTAGCCCATATGGGCGGTTCCAGAGAAGCCAGGAAGGCACGTTGGGGTGCCCTGGGCATGCTTGGCACCTGCCCTGACATGGGGCGGTGTCCATCTCCGTCTCTTGCTGCCCACGCTGCCCTGGGGTGTGGGTCCCAGGGGTCCTGGCAGCGCCCAGCACAATGTCCTGCGATTCTGCTGCAGGACCGGGTCCCCCGCACAGCTGTCCGGGGCCGCAGCACCAGGGCCACCAGCAGGGCACCGAGGCCGGTGGCTTTGCCCCGCTGGGCCTGCTGGCGCCCGGGAGGCGGGCGGGGTGGGCATGCACTGCCGGGTTGCGCCGACACTAAACCGCCCTGTGGTTTCCCCCCCGTGCTGCCGGCTCCTGCCAGGGCTCAGAAGTAAGTTCCGGGGGCGGGGAGAACGGCGCTGGGGGTGGCAGGGGGCTGGGTGCATGTCCGCCCCTGGGTCGGGGTCCTGCAGCCCGGGACAGTCCGGGCTGGGGTCACCCTGTGGGGAGAATGGTCGCCGAGTCACCCCTGACCCTGGCGCCCACTGCGTCCCCAGGCTCCGGAGCGTGAAGATCGAGCAGGGGAGGCTGAACGACCAGGCCAACTCGCTGGCCGACCTGGCCAAGGTGAGGGCAAGGTCCCGCCGGGAGGGGGCCCCGGGTGGGGGTCCCGCGCACCCACTTTGCAGGAGGCACCAGAAATCACCTTCGTGCGGAACATCTTCAGTCTTCAGCACTGGCAGTTGGCTTTTATTTCAAAAGAGTAATATGCTAGCCAGGCGTGGTGGTGCACACCTGTCTTCCCAGCACTCAGGAGGCTGAGGCAGGGGGATCCCTGTGAGTTCGAGGCCAGCCTGGGCTACACAGCAAGACCTTCTCTCAAAAATTCAAAACCAAACAAAATTAACATGCTGGGCCTAATGTTGCACATCTATGATCCCAGTCACCCAGGAGGCTGAGGCAGGAGGACTGGAAGTTCAAGCCCAGCCTGGCCAATTTAGTGAGGCTCTGTCTCAACATAGAAAGGCCTGGGGCTGTCGCTCAGTGGTGAGAGTGGTGACTGCCCAGCAGATGCCAGGCCCTGGGCTCCATCCCCAGCACCCTCTTGAGGAGAGAAAAAGGAAAAAATACACATAGGTAGAAAATGACTTGGCAAAATCCCATATGTGGCATAAATTGGGCATTTTAATTTTGACTTTCTGAGACCTGGGCCCACTGCATGGTTCAGGCTGGGCCTAACTCACTATGGAGCCCAGGCTGACCTCAAACTCACATCAAGCGCAGAGATGACAGGCGCGGGCCGCCACACCCAGCTGGTATTTTAATTTGGATCAGCCACAACATACCACCATTAGAAATGGCACACAGGTGTCATCCCAACATCCCAGAGGCTGAGGCAGGAGGATTGCTTTGAGTTCCGGGCTAGTCCGGGCTACATAGGGAGTTCAAGGCCAGCCTGCAGTAAATAATGAGATCCTGTCTGAGAAGGAAGGCAGGGAAAAAAGAAATTAAAATATCTTTTTTTTTGGCAGTCCTGGGAATCGAACCCAGGACCTTGCCTGTGCTCAGCAAGAGCTCATCCTTGGGCTCCACCCCCAGCCCTGAAATTTGGGTCTCCTTTTTTTTCCTCTTTTTTTTTGGTTTTTGGGTTTTTTTCTGGTATCAGGAATCGAACTCACGATATTGTGCTTGGCAGGCGGGCACTGTGCCGCTGAGCTAAATCCCCAGCCCCTTTCTTTTTCTCTTTTCGTACCAGGAATTAAACTCAGGACCTTGCACTTGCCAGGCAGGTGCTTGTGCCACTGAGCTATATCCCCAGCCCTGAAATTTGGTTATTAAAAAATTAGTTGCAGAGCCGGGCGTGGTGGCGCACACCTGTAACCCCAGCACTTGGGAGGCTGAGGCAGGAGGATGGCTGCAAGTTCAGGTCCAGCCTGGGCCACATTGTGAGTTGAAGGCCAGCCTGAACTGCACAGCGAGACCCTGTCTCAAAAGACAAAAAATTAATTAATTAACTAAAATAAAAATAAATTAAAAATTAGTTGCAGATTTTCATTAAGCGGTATGTGCCTCTTAAGATCCAATTACCAAGCCTGGGGAAATAGCCCAGCAGCACAACTGTCTGCCTGGCAATTGCAAGGTCATGAGTTTGAGTCCCAGTATTGAAGGGAAAAAAAAAAGATCCAATTAACAAAAGCTTCTGCTCTGTTTTTGGTAATGGGAATTGAAGCAAAGCCTTCTTTGAAATAAGTCTTCTTTTTTTGATTTTTTTGAGACGTGGTCTCGCATGCAGTTTAGATGGACCTTGAACTCACTGTGTAGCCCAGACTGGCCTCAAACTCATGCCCTCCGAGGGCGCCACCACGCCTAGAGTCTTCAGTTGTATAAAGTCTTACAAGTTTCTAATTTTTCCTAAAAGTAACAAAGGTGAAATGTTTTCTAGTATTAAATTTTGTGAGATTTTTCACCAGTCTTAGGGATGGTACCTAGGACCTGGTGCACCCAGCCACACCGCCAGCCATTTTATTTTATTTTTATTTATTTTATTGGGGCAGGGTCTCACTGTGTAGTATAGGCTGGCCTTGAACTCGCTTATACAGCTTAGGCTGGCCTCAAACTCGCAGTGATCTTCCTGCCTCAGCCTCCTGAGTGCTGGGATTGCAGGCATGCGCCACCAGACCGGGCTAGTTTTGAATTTGAGACAAGGTCTCACTTTACTCAGGCTGATTTTGAAGTTCTGGGCTCAAGCAGTCCTCCTGCCTCAGCCTCTAGAATAGCTGAGACCACAGTCTCTGCCACCAGAAATACTGAGTATTTCTCTCTGACAGAAATCAGGCATACATTCTAAATTCAGAACAACAAACTTAGGGCAAAGAAGAAGCAGCAGAGGCTAGGTGTAGCCCCTGCAGACATCACTCTCTGTCCCTGGGTGGGTGTCAGCGATGGGGGGCACCGGGCCTGGGCACTGTGTGGCCAGGAGGGTGCTGGAGAGGAGGGCTGGGCTGTGGCCCAGGCCCGGCCCCCTCCAGGATCCGGCGTTGGGGTGCGGAGGGTCCCTGCTGCGGTCAGCCCAGGCACCCCTGGTGGCCCGCACACTGCGGGGACCCATAACGGCCTGCCCTGTCCCCACAGACCCAGGGCCTCATGTACGAGCTGCTGTCGGAGCTGCACGCCCAGCATGAGGAGCTCGAGGCCCGCCTGGCCGCGCTCGAGGCCCGCCTGGACTCGCTGGGCGCCTCCCTGCAGGCCCTGCCCGGCCTCGTCGCCCAAGCCACGCGGCTGCCC